AACCCTGTGTTAAACGAACGGGAAAGCATTAAACAGACTGCCAGGGTTGAATTTACGATTTACGATTCGTTGTTTGAACGTCCAATACATCATACATGATATTATGGACCATCCAACACCCATATTTTATTTAAACAACTCGATCACTCATCACCCTTGATAAATGTTAAATAACTCGAGCACTTAACACCCTAGATAAATGTTAAACAACTCGATTACTCAACAACCTTGATAAATGTTAAACAACTCGATTACTCGACAACCTTGATAAATGTTAAACAACTCGATTACTCAACAACCTTGATAAATGTTAAACAACTCGATTACTCAACAACCTTGATAAATGTTAAACAACTCGATTACTCAACAACCTTGATAAATGTTAAACAACTCGATCACTCAACAACCTTGATAAATGTTAAACAACTCGATTACTCAACAACCTTAATAAATGTTAAACAACTCGATTACTCAACAACCTTGATAAATGTTAAACAACTCGATCACTCAACAACCTTGATAAATGTTAAACAACTCGATCACTCAACAACCTTGATAAACAACTCGATCACTAAGCACCCGTGTTATATGTTAAGCAACCTGATCACCAAGTACCCATGTTAAATGTCCCAACAACTCGATCATCCTGCACCCATGTTAAATGTCCAACAACCTGATCACCTAGCACCCATGTTATATGTTAAACACCTCTGTCACCCAGCACACATGTTATAATTAAACAACTCGGCCATCCAGCATCCGGGTTATATGTCAAACAACACCATCACTAAATACCCATGTTAAATGTCAAATAACTCGGTCACCCAGCACTAGTGACATTATGTTAAAAATATCGATGTATTCTTCTGGTTATTCTTGATTTATTTGATTAATTGTTTTGTGAGGAGAAAACTAAAAACAGATATTATGATAAATCACCTCTATTAATTATAAAAGCTCTGGTATTTCATATTCATAATACAATCATTTCATATTAATACTAAATCATTTTATATGGAAATATTAACGTCTCAACAACATAATACTTTGGTTATTATTAGAGAGAGAGAGAGAGAGAGAGAGAGAGAGAGAGAGAGAGATGGGGTTTAACGTCCACTCGACACAAACTAGGTCATTTCGGGACTAACATATGGTTCAATTTTATTTACATAATTCGCTTGCGCGTAGGGGTCTTTAGCAGTGGGAGGAAACCGGAGGACCCGGGGAAAACCCACGAGGTTGGACAGGCGACCCAACTCCTTGTCACGTACAACCGGGGATTCGAAACCACGCCAGTCGACTCAATGACAGACTTTATGATACAGGGGAGAGAGAGAGTAACGTCCGCAAACAATAATTTAGAGGGGGGGGGGGAGAGTAACGTCTCCCAACCAATAGTGGAGTGACTAGCTTATGGTAAAATTTTCTTTCAGTAAATCGCTTGTGCGTATGGGTCATTAGCAGTTTAGTTGTGGGGGTGGGGGGAACCGGAGTGCCCGGAGAAAGCACACAAGGTCAGGCAGACGACTTATATCCTTGTCACGTACAAGAATGTGATCGATATCACGCCACTTGACTCAATGACAGGCCTTATTATCTTAAGACTTCTCATTTATATACAACGTAACAAATAATTTAAATTATCGTTTTGAATTGGTTTTTGGTTTCGTTTTTGTATGTTCGTTTGGTTTTACATAAAACTTTTTTTGAAAAGGAAAGCGAAAGTTGATTAACTGGAGGTCAGGGAGTGACCAATCTGCGATCAATAGCTCATCTGGAGCGGAGCCACGGTGGCTAAGTGGGTAAGACACTGGCTTGCTATCCTGGAGGTCACGTGTTCGATCCCTGCTTTGGCCTAGAAAGTTCATTGGGATTTCCTGACGTGGTTTCCCCTTGTCAGTGGTGCAGTACGGAGCGTCTGACAAGAACAGCAGTCTAGTCGTTCAGATGGGACGAAAAACCGAGGTCCCGTGTATACATTGGTGTGCACGTAAATGATCCCTCATAGCACACTGCATGGCGTATGCCCGTCTTCATTAGCCCAGTATAGGAGCCGAATAGTAGGACGTAAAACCCCATTTCATTTCATTTCTCATCTGAAGCGCGACTGCATGGACGCCTTCCCTCGTAGTGCATAATCGATTACAACCGAATGAGATTTGTGAAGCATAATTAATAACCAAGTTAAATTTTAAAAGGTTGTCAAATCCTTTTGGGTCGTATAACCTAAAAACCTTTAGCTGCAGATCACGTGCCTATAATGCAGCACATACATGGAACTCTCTGCCACTACATCTACGGACTGCTCCATCTCTAAGCATCTTCAAACAATAACTCAAAACTTACTTGTTTCAGTATTCATATTTATAACTGCTTCCTGTAAACTTTGTTAGTGCTTTGAGCAAACAATACTGTGTGGAGTCTATCGCTTTATAAGAATCCTTATTATTATTATCATTATTATTTATAGGGTAAACGTTCCCTCCTAAATGGTATGTAAAATAGACGCATATTATTTGATTAATTATCTTAGCGATTGGCAGATTATCACACCATTATATTATCACCACCTACTATTTTTAGTACGGGCTGTTCCGGTAGTTGTAATCTAGAGCCGAATAATAAAATAATTTGACCGGAAATAAACAATAGCTGGTGAATCCTTATCATCAAGTCACATCTTTCCTACTTTCAGCAATCGGCTTTCAATTTGGTGTATCCAAGCCATTTCCGTCACATCCGGAACTTGCACACTGATGTTACGTATAAACCATAACAAAGATGTGTACATTAAAAAAATGTTTATAATGGATTGCCATTTGTCCTTTAATAAGTATTTACAGATGCCTTTATACTCCAAGGTCAATTCTAGGTTTAGAATTCGAAATCATGTTAAGACATATCTGGCCCTCGATTGTAAAGCCAACAAGCTAGCTAATCAGTCCTGACTACGCCAAAGACTTAAAGGCATATATGACCCTCGATTGTAAAGCCTTATTTAACTGTGTCTCTATTTCTGTCCAGTCTTGTAATCAACTGACACCGCGTTTCCCAGAACGTAACTCTCAACACACTAAACGAGGCATGGCCATAATCCTACCATATCCTTTAAGTCCAAAAAGGGGCGCCACGGTGGCTAAATGGGTAAGACGCTGCTCCGCCAGTCTGGGGGTTGCGGGATTCTCTCCCGGTGTTGTCCAAGAAAGTTTAGCGGAATTTTCCGGCGTGGTTTCCCTTTGCCAGTGGTGCAGAACGGAGGGCCTGACGAGAGTAGGCCGTAGCGCCGTTGTCCGGGCAAAATTACCCTCATAGCACACTGCACGGCGTATGCCGTCTTCATTAGCCCCATTTCATTTCATGTCTTTTAATCCAAAAGGAGCTATTTTAGTTACGTTATAACATTTGGTGATTTGCCAGTAAAAAGGTTGACGTTTAATGTAGTATTTTGAAATATAAAAAATAATTTGTAAAATGCAATATTCCTAATTGTGACAAAATGGAAGGGACTTGGCAATGAGTTGAAGCCAAGCTGCAACCACGGAAATGAAATAAAATCTTATTGTTTCCATTTACCGGATTAATGAAAACAGCCAAAGAGATAAACTACCAGTCGAGCTATAAACTGGCCCGGTCGTACTGCTATAAACTGACCCGGTCGTACTGCTATAAACTGGCCCGGTCGTACTGCTATAAACTGGTCCGGTCGTACTGCTATAAACTGACCCGGTCGTACTGCTATAAACTGGCCCGGTCGTACTGCTATAAACTGGTCCGGTCGTACTGCTATAAACTGGTCCGGTCGTACTGCTATAAACTGGCCCGGTCGTACTGCTATAAACTGACCCGGTCGTACTGCTATAAACTGGCCCGGTCGTACTGCTAATTGATGCTCGACCCGGCCAGGATGTAACACATCCCTAGTAGAATCGAAGTACGGTAATTCAGGTCCAAGCCAGTCCGGGCCCGTTCATGACGTTCTTAAACAGATCGTAAACAATTGCCACTACGTTCACACCATTCGTACACAGTTAGAGTCGACTTGGCAGCATTGTCTAGAACGTAGAGAGAGAGAGAGAGAGAGAGGGGGGGGGGGTCATTTCGGGACTAACATATGGTTCAATTTTATTTTAATAATTCGCTTGCGCGTAGGGGTCTTTAGTAGTGGAAGGAAACCGGAGGACCTGGACAAATCCCACGAGGATGGGAACCGATGAAAAGTGCACCATTTTGACAGATAATTTTCTTAGAGAAAATCGGACATCGCCACAGCCCGAGTATAGTCCTTACATATATTATTACTTCGATATCTCACTAACCAAGAGATACGGTGTTCATCGAGAAAGTTCTCCGGGGTTTTCCATCTTGGTTTCCCGTTATCAGTGGTACCGAACAGTATCTAGTCGTTCGGATGGTACGAACAACCGAGATCACGTATACATGTTGCATTGCACGTTAAAGAGCCATTGACAATTGGCAATCGAGTTTAGAGTACGCCGCAAACTTGTCTCTGGCGCACGTCCTTATTGTTTTCAATTTTGAGTGACGTCTGTATCACTACAGGCCCGGGATTCTACAGCGCAGTGGACGCTTACGGCTAGCCCCCGGATCCATTCACTTAATTTGTTTGTGATTTCTAGCAAAGTAAAGTAGTACGTTGATTTGCAGTATGAAAGAAATTAAAGCTTACCGTAGATTTTGTTTTTGTGTAAATTATGTGTGGTGCAGTCCCCCTGCACTTACTATTATTAGCCTGGTTTCAGCAGAAAAGTATGACATTAAATCTCATTTAATTTCGTTTCATTGTGTTTGATAACGATAAGAGGATACTTGTCGAAACGTCGTGCTTTTAGAATACAACCAGTGATTGTCTACCATAAAAATTGCGTTTTGTTAATGTGTTTCCCAATCGCTAAATTCCACTTAAAAATCGTTTCATTTTGTTCCCACGTATATTCGTTTACATCTGTCGTTTTACAATTTATTCTATAAACAAAACTTACCTGTCGTGTTTCAGTCCAGCATCACTAAAAATAAACACAACATAAATACACGTCCATCAGCCATTTCTCTATGACAGATAGAAAATATCAATATTTGAACATTAGATTTCACTCGAGACCAGGTATTGACATTTCCTATTGGCGTCAACTTCTTCACGCATGGTGTTTCACCGTTCTACGTTTGGTTTGATTGGCACCAAGTTATTGCATACACAGCTTGATGTTGGGCAACATCCATTCTCTCTATAGCACTCAAAATGTCATTGTAAGCAAAAATCGTGGCGTCATAAAAATTACATGCAATATATATAAAAAATATAATTGTCTGGTTGTTGAGACAGAGCTGTGACTATCGAGCGTGCTATTTATTAATAGGTGGTATTTTTTAAGTTTAACAAGAAGAGAATAAAAAAAAGAGGCATTACACTAATTGGATGGATGGAGTGATTACAGAACTACACTACACTATGTCTAGCCTGATCCCTTACGGTTAGTGCTAAATGATAAGGCCAGCTCAATTTTTCGTCATAGGTCACGAGATGTAAACATGGCTAGCGCTAATCCCAACTCTAACCCTAACCCTGGACCTAGCCTCAATGCTAATCTAAATGGTGGGTATAAAGTCCAGTTGGGTCGTATACGTGATAGGAAATGGGGTTTAACGTCCTATAATTGTTCTCAACGGACCGGGATAATGAAGATGGGTATATGGGATGCAGTGTGCTATGAGGGACACTGTGTCCAGACAGCGCCATTTCCGCCCACTCTTTATCGAATTACAAGTGTCAAAGGTTATTTTACGTGCACGCCAGCCGGAAAACCGGAACTCTAACAGGACACTGTTCCTTGCCACGCTGTATACATTTTTTACATATATTATCTTTTATACTTCGTTTCGTTTCATTTTTTTTTTCATTTTTAAGTTTTCTCTTTATCATACCAATCCAAGGACTGTATACATTCTTTACATTAACATATATTATTATTTATACTTCGTTTCGGTTCATTTCATTTCTTTTCCATTTTTAAGTTCTCTCTTTATCATACCACATCAAGGGCTATAACTTTTGCACAATGGTGAGTTTTACCGTCAAGATCTAAGGCGTTTTTGTGCACCGATTAGATTAGACCGATTAGCTATTATACGCATTTGTGAACCAAGTTGATTATGCTAATCGTTACATTTGTTAGACGATTTAACTCAACTGATTAGGCAAATCGACCTAATCGTCCCAGGAGGTGTTTAGGCGATTAGATTTGACTTTTTCAAAATGGCGGAATGTTCGACGTCGTAAGTAATTTTTAATGCTTATTGTTGTTTTTCTCCATAAAAAATGTTTTTTTAAAACGCATTTGACGTGTTTAATGTTAACTTTATAGTCCACAAGAATGTTAGATCACCTCTAAGTAATTTTATTCATTTACAGTTTTTTCAATATATTCCTCGATCCTAGGTTTTCTCAGGACACTTTTTACATGTTTTGTCACTTCAGTTTTCAAAAAAATACTTGAACTTGTTGGACATAGGAGATTGTTTCTAACGGCAACCATTTTTCCTTTTTTGCGTAGATAACCTTCATTTGTCTTTAACAAGTCATCAATAATAAGCAGAAACAGTTTTTTTTTTGATCGGTGTCCGTGATGGCAGCCATCTTACCAAATCGTAATTATCAAATTTCACATTTGTGGACCATAGCTAATCAAATCGAAATCATACCAAATCGTACTAGCAAATCAAAACCTAATCTAATCGACTCGCAAAAACGCCACTAGTCGATATTATTCCGTTGACAGAATACGAGCCACCGTTGCCCATGCAATCCGTTGCTCTGGAGAATAGTTGTTGTTTTTGACTGGCGTGACAGATCACATCTACATGTATAGTGAAACGTCTGAGATGCCAGTCAGGGTGAACATCAGTTCTGCCGTAGTTTTGATGTTTGTTCTATGAAAAAGGACACATTTCTGACAATATCTTAATTTAACTTTATGTCAAAATATCAACGGTACTCTCGCCGGGGATTCAGATTCAGTTGGATTAAAACAAGTCCATTAAAATATTTTAGCAAAGATTATAGGTGACACGGGCTTGTTTTGACCATTTGCTGTTGATATTGGCACCCTCGTGGAATGTTTGGTGATTTTCCAATAGCTGGGCTGCCTTGGGCAATGATTATTCGGTACTAAATCTTAATAGGAAATCACCCATCATATTTTCTGGATCAACCTATCCGTCGGAAATAACCGGAATTTGTCGAAAAATGCCGGTTGATATTGATAGCCGTACACTAGGTATGATCGTCTTTACTCCATCGAAGTACTCGATACCACTTATATAATGTTGTACTTTTGGACAGGTTTTTCCCCCAATAAAACCCATTATACAGTACACAGAGAGAGAGAGGGGGTGGGGTGGAGAAATGGGGTTTAACATCCGCTCAACACAAACTAGGTCATTTCGGGACCAACATATGGTTTTAATTTTATTTGTCACGTACAACTTTGGAATCGAAACCATGCCAGCTGACTCAATGACAGACCTTATGATGCAGCGCGCACACGCTAACCATTCGGCCATCCAACCCCACTTATGCAGTACAAACGATCAGAATAAATTCTGGATATTTCAACTTAAAATCTTTGCATTGGGTTTGATTGGAAATTTATTGCACATGCAAGTTTAATAATGTTTGAAGCTAATGACTAATCAATACCTATCCATACAGGTAAACACAGAACAAACTCAGGTGGGGGCCATTTAACTATGACAACAGGGGGATAAGTAATGTATTTTTTATGGGATAAGGAAAAGACCCCGCATATCATTTGGTAATATTAAAGACTATCAATCGAGGGTTGGCTATTAAGGATAGTCTTTGAGCATGAGAAATGCATTAGTCGTTGTATTAAAAGGCGGTAGAAATTGTGTGGAATGTTGGTTAATACCTTCCGATATACGCATGCTGGTGTATAATATGATATAGGGATTGTAACGCGGCTTTAGTCACATGGCTAGAATAGTATTATAGGTACATAGCTACAATAGTAATAGAACTGAACCTATAGAATAACGTATAGCTAGAATAGTAATATAATTGAAACTATAAATCTACACATAACTAGAATAGTAATAGAACGGAGCCTACAGAACTACACATAGCTAGAATAGTAATATAAGTGAAGTATAGAACGAAATAGGCATAGTTATAATAGTAATATAGGTGAAGTGTTGAACGAAATACACATACATGTAGCTATAATAGAACTGAACCTATAGAACTATTCATAGCTAGAATAGTAATAGATCTAAACCTATAGGATAGTAATAGAACGGAACCTACAGAACTACACATAGCTAGAATAGTAATAGAACTAAACCCTCAGAACTACACATAGCTAGAATAGTAATAGAACTAAACCCTCAGAACTACACATAGCTAGAATAGTAATAGAACTAAACCCTCAGAACTACACATAGCTAGAATAGTAATATTTAGAACTAAACCCACGGAACTACACATAGCTAGAATAGTAATAGTTAGAACTAAACCCACATAACTACACATAGCTAGAATAGTAATAGAACGGAACCTATAGAACTACACATAGCTAGAATAGTAATATTTAGAACTAAACCTACAGAACTACACATAGCTAGAAAGGTAATAAAACTAAACCTACAGAACTACACATAGCTAGAATAGTAATAGAACTAAACCCTCAGAACTACACATAGCTAGAATAGTAATATTTAGAACTAAACCCACGGAACTACACATAAGTAGAATAGTAATAGTTAGAACTAAACCCACATAACTACACATAGCTAGAATAGTAATAGAACGGAACCTATAGAACTACACATAGCTAGAATAGTAATATTTAGAACTAAACCCACGGAAATACACATAAGTAGAATAGTAATAGTTAGAACTAAACCCACATAACTACACATAGCTAGAATAGTAATAGAACGGAACCTATAGAACTACACATAGCTAGAATAGTAATATTTAGAACTAAACCCACGGAACTACACATAAGTAGAATAGTAATAGTTAGAACTAAACCCACATAACTACACATAGCTAGAATAGTAATAGAACGGAACCTATAGAACTACACATAGCTAGAATAGTAATATTTAGAACTAAATCTACAGAACTACACATAGCTAGAAAGGTAATAAAACTAAACCTATAGAACTACACATAGCTAGAAAGGTAATAAAACTAAACCTACAGAACTACACATAACTAGAAAGGTAATAAAACTAAACCTACAGAACTACACATAGCTAGAAAGGTAATAAAACTAAACCTACAGAACTACACATAGCTAGAAAGGTAATAAAACTGAACCTATAGAACTACACATAGCTAGAAAGGTAATACAACTAAACCTACAGAACTACACATAGCTAGAAAGGTAATAAAACTAAACCTACAGAACTACACATAACTAGAATAGTAATAGAACTGATATGAATATTAATATAGCTGATACGAATAGTAATAACGGAACCTATAGAACAACACATAGGACGGAAAGACATGAGGCATCACCCATCACATTCTAATTGTATCTATGAGATCAACAGGAGAGAGGGGGTAAACGTGATTTGCCTAGCGCACGACACCCGACTTGTAACTATGAGACTAAAAGAAGACGGTTTATAAGGAGAATGGGGTAAACGTGGTCTGTCTCGCGCACGATATTCGAACTGTAACTACGAGACTAAAAAAAAAAAGAAAAGGGTAAACACGGTCTGCTCTGTTCACATTTTTTTTTGTATCTATGAGAGGACAATAAGAAGGGTGGCCTGTCCAACCTCGTGAGTTTTCTCAGGCCTCCGGTTTCCTCCGACTGCTAAAGACCACTACGCGCAAGCAAATTATTGAAATAAAGTTGAACCATATGTTAGTCCCAAAATGGCCTAGTTTGTGTCGATTGGACGTTTAACTCTCTCTCTCTCTCTCTCTCTCTCTCCACAATTAGATAAAAGGGGTAAGCTTAGCCTTTCCCGTGCCTTCCACTTGTAACTATGAGATCAAATTAATTC